TTTTCCTTTCCACGTTTCCTAGTGTTGCAATGTAAATTAATAATATAAAGTTTGCCTCGCTGTCTGGAATATGAAGTATTTCCTTTCATCATGTAGCAGAAAAGCAAATTAAGGAAGCACTTCAGAGAAGAAAATCTTGATATTTTATTTTTAAAAAATTAAGTATGACATAGAATCATAGAAAGGCTTGGGCTAGAAGGGACTCAAAGATCATCCTGTTCCAACCCCCTGCCATGGGCAGGGCTGCCAAGCACTACATCAGGCACCAGCTCAGGCTGCGCAGGGCCCCGTCCAGCCTGGCCTCGAACACCTCCAGTGATGGGGCATCCACAGCTCCTCCGGGCAGCTGTGCCAGCGCCTCACTGTCCTCATAATGAAAAAATTCCCTCACATCTTACCTAAATTTCCCATCTTAAAACTTAAGACCTACATTACATCCACTAAATATGAGTATCTATGGATACTAAACTGTTTATAAATATCCATGTGAATAATTTAGCAGTCTTTGGCCAAGCAATGATGATCCATAAGCATTTTATATCTTCCTTCCTGAACAAATAGAAATGTACTTGCAAGCCAACTTGAATTAACTCAAAAAGCTTTTTAGCCAAAATGGTGATGGTGTTATAAGCATGGAAATAGGCATTTGCTTAGTAAAGGATACTCTACAGAGGTGATGTCCTACATATAGAGCCTGAAGGACAAAAACTACCTTTATGTAGTCTACTTGAACTTCTATTTTTAATAACAGTATAGCAATTACATATAACTAAAACCAGCAAACATCACAGCGATACCAAAGATTAGACAGAACAAAGTATCTTTTATTTCAACTTTTGGATGTACCATCTACTTCTTTAGAATGCGCATATGTATTAGTTACTAAAATAAAATCCAACAGTTCTGGCTACTAATAGCTTTTAATTCTCCCTAGCAAAGCATACCAGTCAAGCAGCTTTATGACAGGAGAAAAATCACAGATGTGGGAAGGCACCACTAGAGGGTTTGTACAGACCTTTTCAAAACTCAAAGCCAGTGATCAAACTGAATCTTAACTGCTACACAAGAACACAAATTGGAGTAACAGCTGCAGAATAACAGAACTAAAATTTGTGCATGTTTTTGTGTTTCCGTTCTTTATCAAAATAAACTGCAGTCTCTCATTAATCTAGTGGGAAAAAATGTTAGTAGTTCTGTTTTTATAAAGACAGATGTTGGTCATGTGAATAAAGGCACAAAATTTTACGTGTCTATTGTATTACTAGATAGCATAAAAAGATGTCCAAGCTTCCTTTGGAAAGAAAGTGTGCTGTAAACAAGACTTTTGGTAACCCTGGGTAATTTAATAAGACTTTAACTTCTACATGTTCCTCTAATCCTATGATGTAGTATTGCTTTTGATGTGTATGGGATGACTACAGAATTATATCAGAAGAATTACTGGAAATATGTACCCTCATAGGGACAACATGGCACCCTTAGACCATGATTTAAAATATTTATTGTATTATAAAAACAAAAAAAAGGAAATCATAGGTTTTGTATTAATGAAGAGACTTGCTAGAATCCAGGCCATAGCTGGATTTGTATCACTTTTTTTTTTAAACCAATCTCTGCTAAAGATGAGAAGAAAACTCAAATGCTAATAATAGCAATATATGTGCATAAATGACATCTTACAAAGTGTTCAAAATTCTTATGGTAGTCACACCTCCAGGTTTTTGAACAGATAGAGAAAAAATGTGGACCTCTGAAGTGACCTGCGTCTTTAGTTTTGAACTATAACTTGTAAGAGTCCTGCTGGGGGAGATAAGGTAGTGATCAAGGTAAAAACTTAAGTATACATTATAGTGGAAAGTATATATAAATATGCAGTAGTATCAGCAACAGTAAATAATAATTTATACTAGATGATCTGAAGCAGCTTGCAATAGCTGAACAAAATTGAAAACAGAAGTACACATCAATAAAAATGTATTTCCCTCACTAATTCCAAATCTAAGTCCCATCTGAGTAAACATTCTCAGATTTCTATTCAGTATACATAAACTAAATTTTACATTTTTTTTTCACTTTCAAAAAAAATATCCATATTTATAATTAAGATCAGTTATTCTGAAGAATAGCATTGCTACTTACTGGGATAAAAAAGCATCATGGCCAACTACTGTTACCCCACGTTTGACTCCGGGGAAAGCTGTTTAAAAAAATAAAATAAAATAAAAATAAAAAGAATCATAAAGAATCATATAAAAAGAGAGAACATAGACAAATGACTAAGAATGTGTATAAAGAAATGCTGCAATCAAAAGGCATTCATTAAAATTCCAAGGAGGCAACAGGCCTACAAAGGTGGTGGTGAGAAGAAAAAAATATTATCTGAGATAAATATAATCAGCTCTCTAGCTGATATAATTCACCATAAGATACTTAAGGAAAAGTCAGTGTGGTCTCTGTGCTGTGACTACCTTCAAGAGTTCTTGATGCATTCAAGAAGACTGCTATTATAAGTATTAAAAATAAGATCAGGAAGCAAATGAGTTAGCATAACAAAACAAGATGCTGGAGCAAATTATGAAATAATTTGAAGCACCAAAAAGATAAGAACAAACAAAAAACTTGTGTTTATCAGGAACACTGTATCAAATGCTCTAATAAAATAAGTAGCTTATCCTCCAGCAGCAAAGTTTGTATCTTAACAAGATTCTATTGTTCCTATTATAATAATAGCATACTAATTTCATACTACCCATTTTCTTCATCCAAATGCTGTGTGGAGCCAAATCAGTTATCTACAGAAGCTTTAAGAAGTCAGCAGTAACCTCTTTATCATCAGAACTTTCTGTTGATGCTACAGATAAATGCAGCATCAACAGAATCAAATTAATCTTAGAAGATCCTGCTTTCGTTTGCCTACTTGATTGGCACTGTATCACCTTTACTTCTGAATAATCAGAGTTCTGCATTGACTAATTCATTAGTCTGCCCAAGATCAATGCTCAGCTGTCATGCCTACAATTATGTTTGTCATACCAAATGCTACTACAAGATTCAGATTTTTCTCATGTGTATTGCTGAGTGTACAGGGTACTCCTCGATGAGTTCTATATCCAGCTCATTCGCAGAATTCGCACTGAGACATAAAGGATAGGAGAACAAGATGCAGCATATGGCAAAGTGTTAGTTGGCAAAATGTCATGCTAATTCAATACCTTTTTTTTTTTTATGTTTTGAAATTTCATTTTGGTTAATGGAACAGGTGTATTCTGTTTCCTGTGAAACTAGATAGAGAAGTCAAATGGAGCACTTAAGATGTATAACCAAGGGCTTGAAAAAAAAAGAGAAAATAATGACTGTATTTGCAGTAACTGAAGGAGCCATCAAAAAAATGTGTCTGTTTGGACTAAACCGCAGGACTGGAGACTTCACAAGAAAGTCTATATATAAACAAAACGATACTTAGGAATATAGTAAATGGGAAAAAAAAAAAAAAAAAAAAAAAAAAAAAAAAAGGCCAAAACAAACAAGCAAACCCAACCCACACTTACTAGTTAGATGTGGTTGGTATCCAAATGGTCACAGAGTCATACTCAATACACCCAGCTTAAGGTTACAAGCTTTCATAGGGTATTAGGCTGTCCTTCTATCTCCCAACTGTTGCAGCAGGCAAGTTTTTCATTCTCTGAAGATAAGAAAATTGTCATTTTCCAAGTTTGGATTACCAAATCATTGTAAATGTTAATTTTGTTCCTTTTTGTGACATTTGGTCCTTCTGAATTGTTATCCTGACAGTAACTTAATTATACAAGTGAAGAACATGCACCATCGATGGAAAAGAATAAGTTAAAAAATAGCAGTGTGAGCTAATGGCTTGAAGCAGTTTTTCTTCAAGTCATCCACTGAGCCTGAGTGTAGGCATGGAGGGAATTTGAGAAGATGATACAGGAACAACATATTCAGTCACAGAAATCTGGATTTTTTGCAGTTCTGTGCAGCACTGGTTAAACAGCTTTTACCATTTTCTTTCTGACTCTCTATTTCCCTGGATAACTGAGTTGAAGTTGTCCCCATTTCTTAAAGAAATGAAGCTGATAAAGCTTCCCTGTTTGTCTGTATTGTGTTTTCATAACTTTTCAGCCTATTGGCCTGATCTGCTCTCCCCTCTCCTTGCCTGCAAATGTTGGTCTCAAAGCCCTACAACTTCCATGAATACTGGTAGCTAAAGAGAGGAAAACAAACCCTGATTTGGTGCTGCTGCTGAGGCAAAGGTTGGCTATTTGTAGCCAAAAGGGAAAAAAAAAACACAAACAAGTGAGGTTAATCAGCAACTGCACAGCAGCAAACTGATAAGCACACAGTTATGGATAAGCAGCACTGGTGATTATATTAAAATTACTGAAGAGATAAAGAAATGGGAGGGAGGATGAGAGAAGTGAATGTTACTGTCACAAAGAGATATGAGATGCAAACCTGTAGCAAATCAGGATTTCTTAGTTCCACAGATCAGGGTTTGTGTAATCCCCTGGAACTGCTGTACCTTAACGAGATGACAGAGGAGCCAGCTCTGTGAGCTGTGGGGATGTGAGCAGGGCTTCAGGAAACACCTCCTGCACCTCGGCTGGGGAGTCACCAGCCTTTGGTTCCTCATTTAGCACTCCGTCTCTTCATAATCTCCCCCAGCGAAGTAAACCAAGAAGCTCTCTACAGAATGCTATAACTGATGGGACCTTCCCAAAGCCGCGTGCGTGACAGCGGGCAGAGGCTGCGGTGTGAGGAAGTACACGCTATCACCGAGGCGAGCCCTGAGCTAGGGCTCCGTCATGCAGACCCCGCGGGGCACCGGACCGGGCGCAGGGGTCTGCGGGAGGCGGCAGTGAGGGGGCGGCCGCGCCGGGCGCCAATGGCGGCGGCTGAGGGCGAGGCTCCCTCTGGCGGCGGCGCAGCCCGCGGCGCCCTCCCCGCGGCGGCGGTCGGCGTCTGGGGCCGGGCCGCCCCGAACCCGGAAGCGGGCGGCGGTTGGTGTCGGTGCGCGGCGAGCGGGGCCGGGCGCAGGATGCGAGGCGCCGCCGCCGCCCTGCCCCCTGCTCGCTCGCAGCCAGCGCCCGAGGAGGAGGAGCAGCAGCGGGAGGAGCGGCCGCATTCGTAGGAGCCGCCGCTGCGGTAGAGCATGAGCGGGGCCGCGGAGAAGCAGTGCCCCGGCGCGGGGACTCCCGCCGCGGCGGAGAAAGCGGCGGCGGCGGCCGGGGCGGACGCGGGGCCGGAGCCGCCGCCGCCTTCGATGCTGAGCGTGGACGTGACCGGCTTGGTGTCGCAGTTCGCCAGGAGCTTCGTGCTGATCTTCCCCGTGTACGTGCTGGGCTACCTGGGGCTGAGCTTCAGCTGGGTGCTCATCGCCCTGTGCGGGCTCTTCTGGATCCGGCGGCACCGCGGCGGCAAGACCTCCCGCCTGGGCCGGGCGCTCGCCTTCCTGGAGGACGAGGAGGAGGCGGTGCGGCTCAGCGTCTCCTCCGCCGATCTGCCTGCGTGGGTGAGTGCGGGAGGGAGGGAGGGAGCGCGCGGCCAACACCCTTCGGCGCTTCCGAGGCGCTCCGAGCCCGGCGGGCAGCGCGACTGCGGGGCGGGCCGGGGCCTCGGCCCCTCCTGCGGGCAGCGGCTGGCTGCGGGGATGCCGTACCCGGGGGGCACGTCCTGCGTGCGGCGACGTTGGGCGAGCCCGGGGAGCATCCCTCCGGCCCGGCATCGCGGCCCCGCCGCCGTCAGCCCGAGCCCGGCGCTGCCCCCCGGCCCGATGGCAGGCAGGGCTGCCCCCGCTCAGTGAACTTCATCGCGGGGATCCGCGCGTCACCCCGCAGATGTTGTGAGGTCCCCGTGATGCGCACTGGAAAAGGAGCGTTTTCTGAGAAAGTTGAGATCGGAGGTGACAAATTCAGTGTCCGAGCTGTTCTGCATCTTCAAATAACGCGTCCCTTAGCGGTAACAGAAAGACGAGGTGGTGGTTCGAGTGGCTTCAGGGCTTTGCTGTGAGGTGCGCGGTGGCCTCGTTTGTGCTGCGCTGTGGTTGGTTGTGAAGAGCTTCCTTGGAAAGTGAAATCCTCCTTTGAGGTTTGGAGCTTTCTAATAAGTCTTCGGAGCTCGTGTTTTTTTAAGTTTAGTTTTTAGCTGAAACAGCTCCAAAGCTGAATACCCTTTCTTTGTAATTTTTATTTTGGTGTGTTAACACTTTTTTTTTAAACACAGCGTACAACCAACTACCTGGCAGCATTCATCCCGGCCTGTTCTGCCATAGTAACCTGCTGTGCAGAGCTTGAAGCTCTCACCAGCCTCGAGGGTTCCTGCTAACTCTTCCCATGCGGTGTTGCTGCTGGCTGCTCCCTGTTCCTCTCTGGCAGCCGTCTCTGCTGGGTGCAGTGACCCCACAAGAGGCAGGGCTGCAATAACTGTTCCAGCTGCTGTTTTCACATGGTCAGACTTACACCTGATGTGGCCCAACCCAGCTCCAATAAGGAAGTTATGCAAGTTTTGGGCATCCAGAGCAGATACAGTATATAGGTGAAATGGGAGGCTGTTTGCTTCTGTTTTCTTGTGTCTTTTACCTGAGTTCTGGGGAAATTTTGTAGTAAAGTGGGGGCTGTCTTTAAAAGAAATGAGATGGGTTTACTGCCTGGAACTGAAATGCAAGTCTTAAATTAGAAATCATAGAGGTAATGTAAGAGCTGTTGGCTTTTTTTTTTTCCCCCTCTTTATAATTTGTTACTTTTGATAAAATGGCAATTAATTCTTCTGCGGAGTTGTCTGAGTACCTGAATTTAGAAAGGGGCCTCTTGATTTTGGATCTCTGCCCACAGCGTATGTTAGAGAGAAGGATGAGTGCTGGCTGCAAACAGCTGTGTATCATCATATAGTGAGAGAGCAGCTGATCGATAGGCAGGGCTTCCCCTGAGTATGGCCTTCTGATACGTCAGTTGGCAGATGTACATCACCTTTTTTTTTTCCCCTTCTTTAATCTTATTCTCAGATTTTAAAGACCTCATTGGTTCGTTTTGTTTTTTTGTTTTGTTTTGTGGTTTTTTTTTGTTATGCTAACTGTATGCTGTATTCTAGAAGTATCTTGCAACCAAATAAGTGTAGCTTCCAGATTACATACAATCTGGAAAACAGAACAGTTTTGAGGACCAAGGGACTACTTAAATCAAAAGGGACCCTTGATGTTTGCTGTCAAAGTCATTAAGCTCTGTGTGAGTCTTTTTGCTGTCTGTGTAACCTGTCTTGGACAGGTTCTTTTTCCTTCTGTTTTAAAGTTATCCTGGAGACTCATTAATTTCAGTCATATTTCAAGCAAGAGACACTATATAAAGTCTGACATCTCTTTATTATTGATAGGTTGCTGTTATCCAGTTTATCTGTCTATTTCAATGCGAGTTCCAAACTGAAGTGTACTCTCTTGGTTTCTAATCATGGAAATAAACATGATTCTGTGGCTTCCACCAGGACCACGAGAGCGAGCAGCATGAGTAGGGGCAGGAGCTCCAGCTACCACGTCAATAATATGATTATTTTCTCTAATAAGCATACTGAGAGGAAGATGTACCTTCCATCCTACCTGAGCCATGGTGTGCCTGCACTTGATCAAGCCTGTGTATGCACAGAAAGCATGTGATGGTGCTCTGTCCTGCCAGAACTTCCCATCATTTGTTATGGAGACCATTTCCAGCTCCTGCAGCCACTGGAATAGGGGTTTGAGGTCACCTGTGTGCTCCCAGAAAAGGGCTGTCAAGACCCCAGATGGGAAGCTCAGCTGAGCACTGGCTCTGCAGCCCCCTTCTCATCCTGCAGGCTGACATTTGAGTGTTATGCAGGCTCTGGGACAAAGCACTCCAAGTAACTGTTTTCTGACCTCACAAAGTACCTGATGGTCTTTATCTAGTCCTCACATAGGGAACAACTCGGTTTGTTCTGCACCCACCATGCCACACAGTCATAGTAAAGCTGTTGGAGACAAGGATCAGGTAGGTGACATCGTCCTGACTGTGCCCACAGCCTGGATAGATCCAGTGTGATGCCACTTCCATCACCCTGGGCTGGGGAAATGCCAGGCAGAGCTGGGGAAATGCAAGTGGTGCTGCAGAGATGGACACTGGAAACTGATGCCAGCAGCCCCACATCATGACTCAAGCAAGATGAGATGATCTAGGTCTTGATCTAGCAGCTGGCAACTCTGCCTGTGGCAGAGGAGTTGGAACTTGATGATCCTCGAGGTCCCTTCCAACCCAAGCCATTCCATGATTCGAAGCCTGGCTCAACATTCCAGATCTCCCAGACATGCTCAGCTGGAGTCCAGGCCTCAGACCAGTCTAGACAGACATCTCACTGATGTCACAACTCCTTGGGACCTCCCAGTCAGTCACTGGGTCCTGTCGCCTTCCACTTTGGTCATTTTCCTTTGTAATGGTGATAGATTTGGGAAAATAAAAATTGCACATTTACCTTTCCACAATCAGTTTCCTGTAAACTATTTATACTTCCTGAAAGTCACAGTGACATTTTTTTGCATGTTCTGGTTTGGACGCAGTATGAATTGGTGGCAATTGATATGTAAAGGTTGCTTTTTCTACCGAGTGCTGATAGCAGGTTGTTTGCTCCCTTTTTTGGGGAAGAAAGAAAATAATAGCTCAAAGTTCAGTTGCTTCTGTATGTGCCTGTGCTAGGTATGCTAGGAACATGTTGCCTACAAAACTGTGAAGTTATTTGTATTTAGCCCTGTGTTAGAATAATATGTATGTATATACTTTTTTTCCCAAAACCCTTCTATGAACTTGTCAAATACTCCAGTTATGTGGTCAGAGCAATGAAGACTTCAGTAATAACTGGTTTATACTGATAACTCAGTATGTTTGTGGAAGAAGAAACGTTAGAGCTGTAACTGCAGAGTCATATCCTGTACTGAGTGACATCTGCAGAGTACAGAGGATAGAGGTGGTGATGCTCTTACATCTGTTTGGCATAAAGAGTTCTGAATGCTATAGAATCGAACTTGTGAACTGGATCTTAGGTTGATAGTTTAGGACAGGAATCTCCAAAGACTCCCTACTGATGTAAGTATGTACTCAGTATGTCTGGTAAACAAATGGATTTCTGCAATGCCATGTTTGTTTATTAATTCCCATTGAACAAAAAGATCTTTCTCTCAACTTCTAATTATACCTTCAGTTAATGCTGTTACTGCTGCAGCTGTAGGAATTATAGGTGAGCTTTTATGAGACTTTCCAAAATAGAAGAGAGAGGCTGTAAGACATTGCTATACATCCCTCTCATCCTCTCTCCAAATGTTTGTTATGTTAGATTGCCTTTCCTGAGCAGTGGTTTATAAGAAAAAATTACTTCTATGTATGGCTACTTAATGCTAAGCTGGATCTCATGATGTGCTGATGTTTATCAATATGTCAAACACTGTAGAAAAATATTAACCTGAAAGTAATAGTTTGATTTTCTGAACTGTTTTGGGGTGCATCAGGCCTTCTAAATGTGTGTTTATATTGTTGGTTTTTTTCATTGTAACAAATTGATATTATCTAAGTTACTAGTAACTGTTGGAACTACTTCAAATGTATTCTTCAAATGTGCTGTTCGTCTGAATAACTGAGGAAGGTGTATCTTTATTTTATCTTCATTCAAGTCTGCCAGTGCTGTTTTCATGCCTGAATAGTTTTTGAATATAGGGGTGGGGCTGACTTTAGCCGTATATGGAGAGGCAGAAGTCATACAGATCTTGGCAGTGGAGACCAAAGTTTTACAGAAGGGAGCAGAGGAACCAAGAGTAACCGTCAACCTTTTCTGCCTCTTCTACAAGTTTCCTCTAGATTTATATTACTGCTGCTTGAGATTTTTGACACATCACAGAATGTAGTTGGATATGCATTCCATTCTTTTCCTTTTTTTACTTTGCATGAGGGCTTGTTGGTAAATAGAAAGGTTACTATACAAATATTTACATACTTATAATAATGAAAGCCTGCCATAGAAATTTTGAGTATTCAAAGCAATTCTTTAGTGTCCTGTTCCTGTATTGTAAAATGAAAGAACAGGTAGTGTTTTGTTTCTAGTAAAATAAACATCTTTGACTTAAGCTGCAATATAAATCAAATTAATTATCTCCCATTTTCCCAGCCATTGCTAATAATTGCACAGAAGTTTTCTAATTGCTCAAATTGCCTTTGGCAAAACTTGTTTTGAACTTTGCAGCAATTTCTTGCTGGCCATATGTCTGTGCTGAGGTGTGAGATTCTGGAAGCTGCTTTTAAAACCTGTTTTGAAATGAAGTTTTAAAAGAATGCAGTTGTTAAATATCCTCTGTATTATCTGAAAGCTAGTTTGGTAGAGCTTTATATTGTACATCAGGTTCTGAAAGCAGCAATAAATGATTATAAACTAACATGGATCATTAGATTGGTGTGGTTCGTCATACAGATGCAAAAATCTTTTATTTCTATTGCTGTTGCAGAATTACCTTTTATAGATTCCATTGTATTT